ACTCCAGAAATTATTGGGTGCCATCCTCCCTGGCGCTCTAATATATCGTCGTGTGGTTTCCGCGTTTGCCAGCGTCAACACTCCCACGATATGTCCCTCTGCCGATGCACCATTCTTCAACTCAATGTTGTATCCCCCTTGGCTGGTGTTTGTAGCGCTCCTGAAGCAGCGCATCGAGCTGCTGGAATATTTCAAATCTTCTGCATATACGCCCACGAGTCAATGCAATAACCCCGAGGTATTTCATTTGTTCGTCCGACTGTGTATGTCCCGCTGATTGATAAAGTTTAGTGCTGCCTTGTCAGACCTACCGTCGATCTTAAATGTTGCAGCGGCTGCAGGCTTCAGTACTATTGCTCCGCGACATGCCAGCTATCTGCCTGGCGATCCGGCCATCGTGCAGTCTGTGGAACACTACCAACGGACCACCAGCGAGCTCGATCCGGTGGGCTGGACCGTCGACCCACTCCGATCGGCTATTTCCTGAAACAACCCGAAGATGCATTTCTGCGTCTCATCGTGCATCGAGATCAACGATCACACATTATGGAGATCCTGCTGAAGAAATTGGAGTTTGTACACCGTTTCCCTTCCATGGCATTCATCACTATCCTCGATTATTCGAACGGTCCCTGTACCGTCCGGGTGGATTCATGCTCAATCGTTGACCACTACTATTGCCCAAAGAGAGACAGAGAGTGGAAAGGCTTAGCATCTGGAATTTTTAACGTTCTCATTGACGGCGGGGGCGGGTTGCAGAGTGACGACACCCCTGACTTTTTCAACCGCGTGCAGCAGCGGACTCGGTATCGGACTCTGGTCGCGGGATCGGCGGTGGCGGATGGGCTGGAACGAATTGCGAACGCTCTTCCCGTCGATACGGATGTTTCGGCGCTGGAAGAACTGCACCCAGTTCTGTTTTCAGAGCTCAGAGCGTTAGTTGACCTGGAACTGGTAGGTGTGGATGGCCTCATTGTACCCGTGGTTCCCGATTCGAATGTATGAAGAATTGCTTCACTTAGAGTACTGTACAGGGTTACATGTACCATTCACTACCTTGTATAGCTGGATGGTGCCCCTGGACTGCATGATGTTTGCTTGTTTCTCAGCGTTCTTGCTCCATAAGCCATCGAAACTTGTCCAACCCAAAGCTGACTGTCACGCTCACCAAGCTACGCTACATACCGATGCAAGAGATGTCAACAGGTTGTGCCGCTGTGGTGTTTATTATCACCACACTTGTCCTATTATTTAAATCCAAAAAAGCCGACTCTGGGCGAGATCATGTCCCCCGGCGGAGTCTAACTGCCATTTCGCCAGAATGTACTGCCTCAACCTCAAGCAAATCATTCTGGGGTGAACTTCCGAGATGGAATTCTAGCGTGTACTCGTTTGCCGTGGGTTTGGTTGACTTTCGCAGATCCGACTCAGTGTTGAAGTTGCCAAGTTGCTTTAAATTGAATTCGAGAAGCCAGAAGCAGTTACCTGCGAGTGCGGTGAATATTTGCCACAAGTGCTCTTTTGGCGGTTGAGGTGCGATCGGAACATGCCGGAGCCGGGCGTGGGCGTGGGACTCTGAGGGAACGGATCACGCCGGCCCGACTTCTTTGCTTTTGCCACTCACCCACCATTCACTCAAACGGCTACCGAAGCATTTGACGAACGAACGACATGATGCACACGCGCACAAGCTGCCTACTGGGTACGCGGCTGTTGGTCACAATGGCGTAGGAGAGCGGCGGATGCGCAGATGAGGCTTTGACGAAGGTGTGAGTCGTTTTGCGGCAAATCTATCGTGCGTTATGCCCTGGTATTTGGCCTGTATTTCTGTCTGCCGCCCCGGGCGCTTCTTCCGTCGACGCTGAGAGGTGCATCAACGCTCGGCACTTTGGCACTACCGCCAAACTCTGCTGCGCACCTGTTCTCTCAGTTCTTCTGGGAGTCCCTCTGGATCGCGTTTCAGATCAATCTACTCCCGCGTCTCTGGTTGAACCCTGCTTTTTCTGCAGCACACCGGATCCCCAGCGTCGTATTTGCCTCCGATGCCCCCATTCCAACGCTTGGACTGAAAACACACCCTCGTTTCGCGGTCGTGTTCCCATTCAAACGCGTTCGTGTTTTGCACTCCCGATCTCGCTCCTTAATTTCGCTTATCGCTCCCCGATTCAGGTTAATTATTTGCCTTGGTCTCCGATTCAAGTCTTTCGAATCTACTCATCTCCCATACTCCCAAGATCATCCGCAACCCAAATTCAAGCACGCGTCTCAAGTACAGTCTCGAGTTACTTGAATTTCACCTTCTTCCATTCAGGTCTTTCTTTATTGCGGTGTGAATCTTCGACAGGAGACCGTGATGGAGATATTTCAGTTTACTTCAAGGGCTGGTGGTGACCGCATGCACGGTATGTAGAATATTTACTGTTAGCGGTTTGACCTCAAGTCTCTCGTTCAAGTCGGGAGCGGCCCATATCATGAAAAACTCTTTTTTATCTCTCGCCTGTGGTTTCCAAATTTCCATGTAGCACGAACGCTTCCTCGTTGATTTTACGCAGCCTACCAATGCGGCCAAACGGGTGCCCCGGGGATTTGAACCTGCACGTCCAGGTCACCTCTGTCCAACATCCGAGCCAGTATATATTTCTTCAAGAGCGCGGCATCAAAACGACCCCTTCTACAGACGTGCCTTGCATTAAAAGTACAAACCCAAATCGATTGTATGGACTTTCTTGTTGAATTCAGGCGGAAGTCACCCGGTCAATTCGGGTTTGTGTCGTTGAGAAGGCCACAGCGGGGTTTATTTTCAAAAAGAATGTACCTTACGGTTTCCAATTCCAGTGCATTGACAGTATTTCTCAGCTCTTGTGCAATTAGGCCCGCGGCCCCCTTGATCCCTGTCTTACAGTGTCTATGTCTGCGCTATCGCTCCTGGTCGACTCCGCCGCACGCGTCTCTCGTTACGCCACCTACGCTCTGCAGCACATTGTAGGCCCGACATCTTACTCCTCCGCGATGCATATGTCTTGTCGCTCTACTGCGACACCATTTCGAGTACATCCTCAATCTCCTACGGCTTGTTTGCCGGGTCCGGGTCAGGCAAGTACAGAAGATGAATCCTGTAATTACAAGGTCATGTCCATAACTCCTTCGCCCATTCGACCTTACTCCGGTCTCCCTCGTGCGTTCGTCCAGAAAACGACAAACAAGCGGATCCACGGAACCTTCGTATGTCGCCCTGCCGACTCCGTTCTCCGCACTCTATGGTATACTTGTTGCGAGATTGCGTCCAGTAACCCATCCGCAACCTCCCTCTGCTCCACTCGCTCATATCCTCCGATCCAAATGCAAGCTCATGCCATACAATTTGCACTCAATTATCATCGATGTCATTGTGCATGGTCTATATACCGTCTCTTCTCTGCAACTCTTTCGCGTACACCTCCGTGCGACTATCGTTATATACTTCCCTGCGACTGAACCTCGATTCCGACAACCTCTATCCTGTTGGTCTGCGGTTCAATCTCTGGAGTTCACCTTCCGTGGATGCCTCCAAGGGTGTACTTACTCTGTTGATCTTCGATTTACCCTCCTTTTGTTCACTGCTACTATATTTATACTTCTCTCCCTGCGAGTCTTGGGTGAGCACAACTGCCCGGATATATAACTATCTGTTTCAGTGCGTCGTACCTCTTGATAGTTTACTGTACTCATCTCCCCATTCGATCATTTGTTTCCTCTACATTTCGGAGCACCTCTGCCCGCGCATCCGTTGTGTCTACAGTCGCACTGAATCTTTCGATTGTTTCCCGCTTAACGTGTTGCGTTGTGTTTCTCGGCCGCTCTGTGTTTCGGTTTATATTCGCCTCCCTTCGCGTTGAATCCCACTCCAACAACCTTCCATTAAACCCAGCTCGATTCCCTTCCCCTCGCTGACGTCTGCCTGGTCTGCACTCGGGTCTCCAGTGCTAGTGTCGTCGAGTCCGTCTAACGAACGTGTTGACCTTCTTCAGACTCCGCATTTACATTTGTCTGGCGTGTACCCTTCCAAACACCGCTCAACGTGGTATGCTCTTCCAGCGCCGTAATCTGATTCTGCCTATTCTGACTCGTTCGCAATTTGTAATAGCCTCCGTATATTCGAACTTTACAACCACCTTTCTGAAACAACAAATTAATTGTGGGAGAATACAATCGAGGTTCATTCCCCAGGATCGAGACTCCCAGGACTGATTTCTCTCCGGTTGTCCATTGCCTCCCATTTGCCGATCTGGTAAGATGATTGACATACTACCGTATTTTCATATGCACGTCCGGTTCACCCATTGTACGGGCTGGCAGCGAGGTGGTTTCGCCGGCGCCTCCATATATCATGAACAAAGCCGTCATCAGTCTAACAGTGGATGTTGCCCGTTCGGTGTTCGATTCGGGCCCAGTCCTGTGTATCCGTTGTCCTTGAATGAAGGTGCATGACAGACAGAGTAAAATTATATGAAGTTTATAAGCGTGCAATGATTCCTTCGGATTGGATTTTTCGTGGCCACATACAGTATATCTATCACTATATCCGGGAAATACCTACCATTGCGCTGGCTAGTGGAACACAAAACGATGCCCTCCGCAAAAAGCCTCCGCGAGGAAAAAAACTCTTTGATTAAAAGGCCGCCCCAGGTCCTCGGGCGGAGTCGAACCGCCGCGTCCGCATTGATACTACAAACAACAGGTCCAAGACGTCTGCAGGGATCTACCATGACCAACGAGGACAGTAATATTCATTGTTCTGTGGGAAGTCCGAGGGATGGCAGGGAAGATCGTAGAATGTAACGTCTGTTCCGGTCCCTCTGTACGATCCAACTTGCGTGCTGCATGCTGGGATTCGAGGTCCTCTGCCTTGCAATTCACTGAAATCAGACTGTGAGCAGGGAGAGACCTCCGACGGAACAATTTCAATATACCACCTCGTGAGCACAGACCAACAAGAAAAAAACCAATTGGCATGGCACTAGTATCCTTGGGTGGAGTCGAACCGCCGTCTCCCCAGTATGTAAGCAATCAAGACCTTGCTACAAGTCTGGGACGGCCTGCCATGGTCCACAAGGACTTCAACTGCCTTGTAGATAGGGCAAAAAGTGAGGACGAAACTTCAACATTCAACGATTGGATAGCTCACACCGCATGACTTTAGTCCCTGTACATGATTTACTATTGGCGCCTCGAAATATCTCTTCCTACCGCCGCAGAGTCATCAGCAACCCCAGCTGATGTCGCATCATAACCAAGGTTTTAGCGCCACCGGAATTCAAGCTCCCGCAAGGCTCAAAAAAAAAAACGTCTGGGAAGGAACATGTCCCCGGGCGGAGTCGAATCGACATTTCCGCATGATGCACCGGCGGCTGCATGAAATAATTTCCTGGGGTGACCTGCCGTGATCCACGAGCACTTAGACATGCATATAAATACCAAGGCAAGTGAAGCTTTCCCCTGGAATTTCAGCGTGCAGTATACTCAACTGATGTGGGTTGGGTTGAGTTTCGTGTATCCGACGCAGCATTGAATTTACTCCCAATTAAACTCCCTGGCGACCTGCCAGAAGCTGTTGCCTGCGAGTACCGTGAACTTGAATATTTGCCAGAAGTACTCCTTTTTGGACGGAAGGAAATGACGATCGGAACATGCCGGACCCGGCATGAGCGTGGGACTTCGTCGGAACGGATCACGCCGGCCCAACTTCTTTGCTTTCGCCACTCATGGCAGCGGCGGACTCGGACGGCTACCGCACCAGACGAGGCTTTGATGTGAGTGACGCCTGTACAGGTCGTCTGGCACCTTTTCGATCCTCGCTTGTCTGCTCATTTCCCCCACATCTACGGGTGTACCCTTATTTGATCCAGATCTTGCTTTTCGCCTTTCGCCGCTCACCACTCACTGTCACTCGAACAGTTACCACTACTTCACGAAGGACCGACGTTGTTCACGCACACACAAGATGTTTATTAGTGTCTAGGACACTCGATGTTGGTTTGGTCACGATAGCGTCGGAGAGCAGGGGTTTTATAGAGGCGAGACTTGGACGTGAGTTTCCCAGAATGCACGAGTCGTCTCGCACCTGTTCTGTTCTTCGCTGCTCATCTCCGCGTAACTTCTATCGCTGTCTGCCGCGGGCACTAGTACTTCTGCTGTCGACGACGACAGCTCCATCAAAGCCGTCGACACTTTGGCCCTAGTCTGTTTCCCTCTCAGTATCCCTCGCAACCCTCCACTCTACAATCGCACAGCGGATCAACCAACACCCCTGGCTCTGGTTGGCTCACGCACGCCTTGGATAAACTTATCCACGCCTCTGCTTGCGGCACCCACGCTCTGCTGCACACCATATCCGGCGTCGTACTTAGTAACTCACTGCCATCAATCTCTATCCCGCTTCCGCGCCTTGGTTCCAAGTGTGTCACTGTTCGTTCACGCCGTCCGGCGATACCAAATCCACCAACGCAACAACCACCACAAGTCCTGCGCCCATGTTCGCAACGTCCTCCTTCCTTTCCGCCGTCTCCCTCGCGCTCGCACGAACGGCCGACAATCCATCGGATGTGCCAGAACTCCCCCCAACGACGCCCAACCCGCTCCCATACTCTCCACTGCACCTACTGCGATGTCGCGTCGCGTTCCTCAACCGCAGCCCATGGCGCCGCATCTACTCAGGTGGTGCTTGCCAATCGATACAAATATGCACTCGACCTATAGATATGCAATCCCGCGTTCTTTATCATCGCCCGCTCTCTCTACGTCCCTTCTGCGCGCGCACCGCACAGCCAGCTCCGTCCCTCCTCACCCTGCCTACACATTCCACTCTGCACAATCCGGCCGCGTCTCTTCACATTCCTGCGGCGTGTCTACAATCCGCTCGCATCTCCAGTCCTCAATCCCTTCGGGCTTCTCTTCCGCTCATGCTATCGCCCGGTTTATGTGTGTCCCAGCTGATCCAACCGTCAATCCTTCAGCAAATAGCTCAAACTTATCACTGACCCTATCTTCGCTAGTGTATCACCAATGCACCTCTCACGGTTCACTGCTATTGCGTCGCCTTCGGTCATCTCTCTTGTGTCAGTAGCCGGCGCGTACTTCCTGCAATATCCACCTCGGCGTCAAGGCTCTGCTCACCTGAACAGAACATACGCAGATACTTCCAACCTTTTCAAAGCACAATCGTCCCGCTCCCGCTCCATCCTCGTATCTCTACTCTGTCTGCGCATGAATTTCTCTCCTTCAAATCAGGTCCACACTGCAGACGTCTTGATTTCAGGTGATGGAGTCGCCCAACTTCCTCGGGGAAACCAGTCACTTCGCCCTGAACGAGACTGAGTCAGATCTTTCGCCGCCCCGTTCCAATTTAACATCTGCCCCTGGTGAATTTCGTTAATCGGAGAGACAACACTTTCAGTTCCTGAGACCTCTGTCCGATTACCATTTAGTGTCGCGTTGAATGTTGACTTCCGCGTATGGGATGTATTGTGTTGTTTCTGGCCATCTTTGTGTGTTTTGCGTCCCTCAATGTACCTCTGCATGCATCTCCTTGCCTCGAGTTTGAGTCTCGCCCTTTTCACCTTCGATTCGCGCTCTTTTTTGTTCGGTGTTACTATGTTTTCTCTCCTTCCGAGTCTCGGGTGCACACCACCGGATATGCAAGTATCTGGTTCAGCTGCGTCGTACCTCTTGTCACTTTACTGTGATCGCACACTCATCTCCCCATTCGACCATTTGATTCCTCCACATCTGGGAGCTGCGCCTCCGCCCCTCGATCCGAGTCTCAGTGCTGCCACTTCTCCGTTGATATTGATTTACTGCACAAATGTCGGTTCTCCCACCGCTGCTCGCTCGGCTTCGGCTCCAATTGTTGAATCCCGCTCCAACAACTTTCGAATTGATCATCCCTGATCTCGCGCTGAGCTGGACGTCGAGCTTGCCTCTCGTCCCTGCGCCTCGTCCCTGCGCTGACACCTCTCTGGTCCGCAAGCGGGTCTCAAACGTATTCGGTGAAATTTGGATGGTCGCCCTGTTCTATCTTGACCTCCCTCGGCAGGAACAAGCTGGAATCAGTAAGTCTTTCGATCAAGTTGCTGTGTTTCTCGCCCCCGCGGATTCAACATTTTTATCCCTCTAGGCATGGTATTAACTTCCAGCGCCGTGAGACTGCACATTAGATTATTTATGCCGGTTCTCTGGTAGCAAAAAGGCACGTCTCAGCCATTTCGATGTCCTCCGGCGGAGTCGACCCGCCGTCTCCTCAAGGTCCTGAAAATATGACCTGGTACAAGTTTGAAGCGATCTGTTGTGTCTCACGAGGACTTCAGCCTTCTTCTGCAAAGTCCAATAGAGTGACTTCATTGATTATCCTGTATCCACTGAGTATGGCACAGGGGCAGAGTATACAGTATATGCAACGCGCATTCAGTGTGCCGAGATTCATGTACTTCTACGGTTTCCCGACGATGCCGCTTATGCTGGAATACGTACGGGTTCAAGTAAGTGGTGATAAATATCAAAGCAGGATTTGCGGCTTTTGTTCCTCGACAACAGAATGAGCCGAATCTTGGTCGCGGCCACAACAACATGCGCAACCAGAAAATGAAATATAGTATCGTAACAAAGACCAACGAATTAGGCATTTACCGCACTTCAAACTCACCGGCTGCCAAAAAAATACTAGTTACCGAGCATGTCCTCAGGTGGACATCAGCCTTTTAACAAATTTCTTGTGGCTTGTTTGGCCTTGTGAGCTTGTGGCCCAAAAACACCCTACCATAACTCAGGAAATGCCGAAGTGTGATTTCTTCAAATACTCAAGGCATATACTCCGTTAATCTACCGATCTTTGAGTACCAAAATTTTTGAAAAAAATAAACAGCCTTCGTCAGTGCCGGGGTCGAACTTTCGACCTTGTGGGTTTCAAGACATAGCTTTGTGACTTTGCAGCTTTGTGGCTTTGTTCGACCTTTTCTGACCTTGTTTGACCTTGTACAAGGTCACAAGGAAAATGTTAAAAGTCTGATGGAGTCGAACCGCCTTTTCCCCATGATGTAGTAGATCAGATATCCAAAGGCTACAATTCTGGGGCGACTTGCGGTGGTCCACAAGGACTTCGTATTTCTGCTACTAGGCTAGGTGAATGACAGGAATTATTCGTAATTTGGGATTTTTATTTTTATTTGGAAGGATCGCTCATTGCCGCAACTTGCATGGGAAGGGGTCAAACTTGCACTCACTGGACTTGCTTTTCGCAGAGGGGGGGTCGAAAGTTGAATAGATCGAGTACTGTATCTAAACTTATCTCTGATATCTTGCGGACATCGCAGACCGGATCACTCGGCCCCAGTCCCTTGCTTTTCCCTGACACTCACCAAAAACGACATGATGCTCGCTAGCAACGGTCTTGGACAGTTCTAGGCCGTGTCTATCAAAGGACTGCAGCGTGGTTGAACACTGGAATATAGGACTTCAGATTTCAGTTACACGACCTAGTTCATCTATCACAAATCGCTACCCTGCAGTGATACAGTAACAGTTGTATAGATCTCCGGCGCCTGTCAGAACCAAGAACCCCACCCAAACTCTCAATCAAGTCTCTTGAACACCAGGATAATCGGGAAAAAGATGAACGACTACAAGAGGAGGTCCTCGGGCGGAGTCGAACCGCCGCCTCCTCAAGACTGATGGAGCGAATGATTTGAGACGTGTGAGGGGATCTACCGTGATCAACGAGGACTGTGATTCAGGCTATGGAGTCCCACACCTGGGAGCGAGAATTCGGCCTTCCACTTCCCTGTTGGGAGACAGATGTTAGACTTCTGGGTTTCGGATATGCTTTCACTGCTCCCTCCATTTCATGATTCACGGAAGCGACGCGTCTGGCCGCAATGCGATCAACCCCGAGAACAAGCCAAAAAGATTGCAATCAGAGACACACAAGAAGAAGAAGAAAATCACATCAGCAATGTCCTTGGGCGGAGTTGGACCACCATTCCCCGCATATTTGCGAAAGACTCAAATCATATAAAGTATGGGATGACCTTTTGTGCTCTACAAGGACTTTGTTGTCTCTGTGGA